CTTGTTTGAGATACACCTCCAAAAATACGAAGAAAAATTTGATTTCTTATAATCACAAAAAGCCCATCAAAATGTGGGAACAACTGTGGGAAAAAACATTCTCACAATGGAATACCATGTAGTCATAGAGATATGTCTATATGTTGATATGAGTGATATCCAGAATATATTTTTAAGAGAAGAAACAAAAAGGATGTGAAGCAACGTGTAGAATATGCTGAACATATAGATATACATATATAATTTTTTTGGTAAGAAAGGGGATTCAGATAACATTGATTTATATTTTCAAACATAAACTTGTAAGGATAAATCAAAAACTTTAAAATAATGATGTTCTATAGGGAATATAACTATAAATAGAGAAGAAAGTTCTGCCTGCTCCATTTTTTTCTTTTTAGTTTTTTAAATTGTGTAAGAGACACGAGAACAGTATCTGCCAAATGCAGTGAATGGACCTTGTTTGGATTCTGATTCAAACACTGCAACTCGCAAAACAGATTTTTGAGACAACCAGAAAGATCTGAATACAAAATAATTATTAGGTGATATTAAGGAATTATTATTGTGTTTTAGATGTGGTAATCATAATAATGTGGTTATGTTTTTAAAAAGGCCTTACCTGCTAGAGTATAAACTGAAGTATTATGGACAAAATAATATTGTATCTTTTATTTTTAAATACTGCAGGAGGGAGGGGTTAAAAAAGTGAGGAGGGGGATAGATATCTCAAAAGCCTTAACGTTAAACATACATTTTTGACCTATCAATTACACTTTCTAGAATTTATCCTAAATATGTAGTTATGAATGTGTATAGAGATTTAGCTAGAGAAATGCTTATTCCAATAACTTTTAGGAGCAAAAACCTGGAAATGCCTTGTGTTAAAATAATTTTATTAGTTACATAAATCAAGTAAAGTAATACCACCTTTAAAATTATGTTGAAAAAGAATTTTTATAAATTGAATGGAAAAGTGTTCATGTTATTGCTAATGAAGAAAAGAGTTCATAAAACCATAATCCAATATAATCTAGGTTTTATTAAGAAAAAATTATTCAAGAAAAAATGTTAAAATGTTTTGTGTTTATAGTGACTATCTTCGGGAGGTCAGAATTCAGGTAACTTTTACTTAAAATCAATATTTGTAGCTTATTAAACTACCTATAATAATAATAAACATATGTTATCTTTGCAAAACAATAGCTATTAAAGTAAAACACAGCTCTTCATAAGGCAATTCATCAATTTCAGAAATAGAACACAACTGAAGACACAGGAAAAAATGTGAAGACTGAGATATTTGTCTGGTGTAACATTTTTTAAATATGAAGAACAGCCACTGCACAGTAAATGGAAATTGTTTTTTATCATGAATGATGTAAGATTCCTTACTCCACAAAAATTGTTTCTCACAGTGAGATTTCTGATACATTCAACTTAGACCCTTAGGAGAGGAAATAATTTTTCATTTTGCTTGTTCACAGAACCAAGCACAGTGCTGTGTAGTTTATGTAGAGGGCAGGCTATTTTTAAAGGATCTGTCAAGTTAATTTCCCTTATTCATAAACTAGATTCCCTCTTGGCGCTCTGTCCGCCACAACGGCTTTGGGAAAGGGTACAGACCAAATGCCACCTTGGCAAGGAGGCCACTGTGATTCCCTCAGAGGAGAAGTGCTTGCCTGGCAGGAAGAAGCTGGAAGTTTGCCTTTCTCCCTCCAAGGAAAGAGAAATGAGAGAGAGAGAGAGAGAGAGAGGGAATCCGATAGGAAGACTAATATGTTTTGACCTCCTGTCTCTGGGGTTAAGCCCCATAGCTGCAAAGCATATTTGATTGTTGAGGAAAAGCTGGAAGGAGAGCTTTTGCCCTGCTCCCCATTAAGAATGATGGAGAGAAGAGACAGTGACAGCAGGACAATAAAAATAGTGCCATGGCATGCTTATGCCTGATTTGTCTCTTTCCCT